TCTTCCCCGGATCCCACCAAACCATTTTTAAAAACTGGAAGGTGTTGAAAAGTTTTGTGAAAGAGAAGGTCAACAAACACAAGGAGGACTGGAACCCCTTGGAGAGTCGGGACTTCATTGACAGCTACCTGCAGGAGATAGCCAAGGTCAGCAACACGGAGCAAATCCTTTTGCAGCAGGGCTTAGAAATCAGGAGGGACGAGAATCAAGCCCAAATTCTCCATCTGAGCTGCCTGTGTGGCCATTTATAAGCTTAGGATAGACATCAGGTTCAGGGCACCCATCAGCGGGATGGAGGTGCAGGGAGCCACCAGCTTCTGCCAAAATCCTTGGGGTTGACTTGGACTAAGCCTGGTGTCAGGGCAGCCCTCGCTGTTCGTGTGGCACTAACGCACCTTTTTGTGAAGGACAACGGTGGTGGCAGCTTCCGGGAGGAAAACCTTGTGGCATGTGCACTCGATCTGCTGTTCGCCGGGACCGAGACCACTTCCACAACCATCCGCTGGGCTCTGCTGTATATGGCCATATATCCAGAAATTCAAGGTACAATTAGCAAAAGGCCAGTGTTTTCCCTTGCTTTTAGCCCTCACAGCTTCATGAAAGACTCTCTTTTTTGAGAGAAAAATTGGAAATCCCCCTGCACTCACACAAAAGAGGTGCAAACAGTGGCAGGGGTCCCAGGTCGGGCCTTGGGGGACCCTCACAGCAACCACCCTGCGTTGTTCCAAGGGTCTTTTTTCTTGGACCTTGGCTGATCCCTGCTCTTTCCCACCAGCCCGTGTGCAAGCTGAGATCGACGCGGTCATTGGGCAGGCACGGCAGCCAGCCCTGGAGGACAGGAGCAACATGCCCTACACCAATGCCGTCATCCACGAAGTGCAGAGGAAAGGCAACATCATACCTCTCAACGTGCCAAGACTGACGGTGAAGGACACGGTCTTGGATGGCTTCCACATACCGAAGGTAACCCCACTCCGGAGCGCTGGGACTTTAGCAAGAGACTTCCAGTTCCCCAGGCACATTTCACCGGGTCAGGTCCCTCCTGCGCAGACAGGAGGGGCAGAGCCACAGCGTCTCTGCCCTGTCCAGAGTTCACTCCTATTGAACATGTATTTTTGTTGTCCAAACAACAGTCTGTTCTCTGGCACATTGGTGTGTGCGGGGGGTGTCTCGCACCATTCATCGAGGCACAGATCTCATCTCACACAGCTTTTACAGGAACTTTGGCCCAAGATTACAGCAGATAAAAATGATGCTGATGAGGGAAAAATGTGGGTATATAATCATTGCACCTCCAAACAGACAAGTAGGACAAACCAGCCGTGCAGGGGGTGTTGGACAAATAATTGCAGCAGAATTTGACTACGGATGTTCTTCATGGAGAGGAGATTGGAAGACAAAAATGTCCCTCCTGCTGTCAATAACAGAGAAAGTGCAATTTATTTTTCTTTTTCTCCTCTTAGGGCACTGTTTTGCTCACAAATTTAACCTCCGTGATGTTTGACAAGAACGAGTGGGAAACCCCCGACACTTTTAACCCCAGACATTTCCTGAAGGACGGTCAGTTCTGGAAAAGGGAGTCTTTTGTGCCATTTTCTATAGGTAAGATTTGCTGGATTTTGGTGCTTCCATGCTGAGGAAGCACCAAACTGCAAAAGGCAAATGTTGGCTGCACCCTGGGAGGTGCCGCTCAAGCAGTGCTCACCCCAAAGCACCACAACCACATTCTGAGCTCTTTCTCGTCTCTCTTCACATGCACAGAAGAGAGATGAGGATGAATAAAAGACCATAAAAATGCCGGAGGCCCTAGAAACACCTTCACCAAGGCAAGAGCAGCGCTCTGTGCTCCTGCTCCCACATGGCTGAAGTCATTAGGGGCTTCACTGTTGCCACCACAGGGTACCCCAGCCAGCAGCTTCCTTGGAGAGATTGCTTTTAGAACCCATTTCCTGTACCAGCATCACACACCTCCTCTGGTAGCTCTCTTTGGTGTAGCTCAAACAACCCACCCCTCCCAGCATGGGCACATCCAGACCGTGCGTGTCAGCACAGCTTATCCAAGCAGGGGAGGATACAATGCCTGTGCATACCGTTACAAGCACATGCCCTCACAAAGTCATGCAATTTGGGGGGCAGCACATGCTGTAACACCAATGCCATTATTGGGGAGCTCAGTTTGGGCTGCAAAACTCATCCTGGGAAGGGGGTAACACAGCTGGACCACAGTCCTAAAGGAAGGCAGAGGCTTTTTTGGCAGCAAAAGCAGCTGGGCAGCCAGCACAGGCTGAGGATGCCATGGGTGGCTGTCTCTGCAGGGAAGCGTGCCTGCCCGGGCGAGGTGCTGGCCCGCTCAGAGCTCTTCCTCTTCTTCACGGCTCTGCTCCAAAAATTCACCTTCCAAGCGCCCCCGGACACCACACTCAGCCTCCAGTTCAAGCTGGGCATGACAATGACGCCACAGCCCTACAAGATCTGCGCCGTGCCTCGGTAGGGAAACCTTGGCCACCATCCTTGCAGTGAAAATCCTTTGGCAGGGATGCTGAAAACGAGCCCTCGGCTGCTCCCCTGGGCAGTGGTAACAACCACCACCTGGCTCCAGGGAGAGGCTGGGCAGTTTGTTTGTTTCTTTTAAAGCAATTGCAAAATAATTTCTTTTACAAGCGGACCTCGCACTCTATATCACATGAGAAAGGTGATCAGCCTGGGATCTGCCAGGGCACTTTTAGGTTTGCGATACGGCACTGTAAATGAATGAGGGGCTTGGGGCTTTCCTAATTTTATGATGGATGGCCACGCTTCACAGTGGCAAGAGAATGAGCAACACTTTAGAGATTGCAGTGTTCAAGCTGTGGCTGTGTACTGTGGAAGAGCAGTACCAACCTCTGATTTTAACTTTAATACAAGTAGTAAATGCCAAGATTTTTTGATTTTGTTAACCTTGACAAATAATCCGTTAGGAGATGGTATAGAGTAACTCTCTTTCTCGTGCATCAATAAATCCTTACTGAAACATTTTTGCCATGAAGCATTTTGCAAAGTGAAGAACAACGCAGGCAAGTTCCTGTGGCTGTGCTGGCTGTAGCCTTCAGCCACGCCCCGTGTTTCGGGGCGGGGGGTGGCAGGGGGCTGTGAGCCCCCCTGGGCAGGGGGGGCCACACAGCACCTGACCCATGTTGTTGCAGCATTGCTCTCCATTAGCAGAGAGGTTGGCACTGTAACAGTGAAGGCAATTTCTATGGAACTGATGAAAATAAATGACCCTGACAGTATGAGTAAAGTGGCAATGAAACCACCAAAGCCTGTGACCAGGTCCTGGCGTGCCACAGCAATTAACAGCGTGACACCCACATGGAGAACAGGGAGTGCTCTCCATGGTGACAGATCGCTCTATAAAACGTCTGTACTTGTAGCTCTAAAAGTCATGGGTCCTGCTTCCTAGACTGTGCTAAATCCTCCCCTATTTACCTGCCCAGCATCACTGAGCAGCCTGGGGGGTGGAGCGGTGAGCTCCAGCCACGCAGGATGCACAGCTAAGCCTGCTGAGCACAACAGTCTAATGAATAAAAGGGTCCCCTGGAAAATACCAGCAACAAATAACTATTATTTTAAACCATCACATGCAAGGTGAAACAGTACCAAGTAACCGTCACACTGTGGGACCTCAGCAAGGCCCCCAGGCACAAGAAGCTTCAGCTCCCAGTGGGGCAGGGGGCCGCCTGGCAGGAAGCCCCAGTGCAACACAGTGCCGGTAAACACACCTCCAGCTCCTGCTCACCTGCTGAGGAAGCAAGGAGAAAGCAGTCTTTTCCTGTTCATTTTCAATCTTTCCTGGAGTACTTTTTGTGTGTTCCTAGAGGAAGCAAATTTTTCCCAGTGTCTCTTCCAAGAATTAAGTCACCTCCTGAAGAAATTAAAAGCATCTTTTCTCATGCAAGCATTAATGCCCAGGTGGGTTTTAAATCCTTTTATTTTAACCTGCATTTTCTTCTCCAAGTGCAGAGGGGAGGCAGCATGGAAGGCTGGGCTGGCCCTGCAGACCTGCACAGAAAAGGGCAGAAACACCCTGTGGCCCCACAGCTGCACACTGGGGCCAAGCACAGCCATTCAATGTAAAGCAAAATTTATAGCAGGCAAACACGGCTTCTGGCAAGGCTCCTTCAAGCACAGGGCTTGGTGGGGAGGCTCTGTCCCCTCCTCTGATTTTCTGTGCCAGGCACAGCTGGGTACAGACAAAAAGGTTGGACTAAGATGCTATTTCTGGCACTTGAGGCTCCTGTTTCGCAGATTCATAAGGTGGAGACGTGAGAACATGTGGTGGGAACCAAACCAACCTATTTATAAAACGCAGGAGACTTGACCCGGTTCTCACTAGAAGTGGGATGAGACATCCCCAACCCCAGCTCTCCACTCCTCCTCCTCTCCCCATGCCAGTTGCCCTCCCGACCTGCTCCTGGCAAGGGGCTCCCACATCTTCCCTTCGCAGCAGAAACAAGGAAGTTCATTTGACTTTCTAGACCTTATGTTCTTTCTTTTTCTTCCTTGGGAGAAGCAGAAGGGGAAGGCTGGAAGCAGGCTGCATGCCTGGAATTGACTGGGAACAGGAGAGGGGAGCAGTGACAAGTTTCTGTTGTGTGCAGCATTACTCCCAAAGCACTTCCAGTTTGCAGGTGTCCTCTACCTTTTTTTTTTTTTTTCCTTCTTCTCCCACTCCTTGGCTCAGATTCCCATTTCCTCTCCCAGGCTGCTGCTGTATCCAAAAGCTTCCTCCCCCTCCTCCCCAGGTCTCCGCTGGGGAGACTGAGCAAAGAGCACATTTCAGAGGACGGTTTTGCACAGGGGCTCCTTGGATATTTTGCCCCCTCCACCAAAACCATCTCCCATGCACAGCTGACCTCACCTCCTCCCTTTCTTTGCGCTCGGGGCTGTACTCCCACACCTCTTTTCCAGGGACACCCCTTGCCTAAACATACAAACCTTCTGCTGCAGTGCTTGGCTCTTAAGGAGCTACCAGAAAAGCCATAAGCAAACAGGGTCACAGACCCAGGCTCTGCACAGGCAGTCTGCATTTGGACATAGCTTGTCGTGACGAAGCACTTGGAAACGGAGCCCTGCCCTGCACACACCACCCCTCACTCGCTCCTTCTGCGTTCAGGAAGGCAGCGGTGGCTATCAGTGTGTGTGCTGTGACAGATCACACAGGGGCTGAAAACATCCTGCAGCTTGGCTCAGGCTTCCTGCACAGCTGAGAGCCTCTTCCCTTCCCTTCTCCCTCGAACACACACCTGCAGTTTTTGTTCTTCAGTGTCTGAAAATGCTTTTAAGTCCAGCCTGAGAAAGAAGGAAAAATGCTTCTTTTGTATCTGGCCATTCACTTCACGCTCACTGGGACACTTTACCAGTGCAAAGGCCCTTCCATGTCGAGGTATCACGCAGCTCCCAATCCTCATAGAGGTAACAGCCCAAGGCAATAAATAACGGTTACTTACCAGTGTCAGGCTCTAGTCAGGCCGAGAATTGTGGTTCAGAGAAAGGGAAAACCAAGGTCTGTGGTAAAAACAGGCCTGAAACAGGGCCCCTGAAGGAAACTTGTGACACCTTCTCCTTGCTGATCTTCACTTTGAAGGGCTGAACAGCTGCCCGCTCTCATTCCCAACCTCACTTCTGGGTTGATGTTTGTGCTAAGGGAACAAGAAAGCTGTCAACGAGACTAAGAACTGGGCACATAAATAACCTGCAAAGCAGACTGAAGAGGGCAGTCAGTTTTCTTTTTCTAATAACAACAAGCATGGTGATTTAGGAGTGTGTTACCTGTCCTCTGTGTCCTTAGGTGGGGCTGAGGAGAGTAGGCAGAGATCCTAACTTATTTCAGTAGCAATAAGCAATTACTGAAGTCACTTGACAGCTAATTTGTGGTGGGTTTTAGTCTTTCCACCTCACAAGGTCCCTTGCCCTGCTTTCAGATGACTGTCAGCAGACCGAGCAGAGGTATCCAGCTTTGGGTGGGAGCAGAACTGTAAGTGGGAATGAACCGAAAAAAGGAGGGGAAGGTAGCACAACTCTGATTTGTTGTTACAGCAAAACATACATACACACATTATACGTACATGTTACATATCCTGTAACATGACATTTTAGATAGTGTAATTATATCAACATACAGACTCAGTTCATGTGTTGCCCAGAAGTATGGATGCTTACATCGGCTAGGGACCATTAAACGCATTGCTTGGAATAAAGACACCAAAGAGTTAATTTTAAAAATCTTTATGTGAATATAAAAGAATTCTTTCCAAAGAAAAATAAAACCAAAGTTTAAAAATTAGTGCAATTTTTAAAGTTCTATGCAACACAGTGTTTACATTTGTTTTAAACAGAAGATGTAGACACCGATACACTGAAAACCTTAACTCTAGCTTGACTAGTGGGGGGAAGGGAAAAAAGTTAAGAAAATTACTTTACTAGACATTACCAACTCTTAAACAATTGTTTTCATTTCCTAATTCCTAAACAATTTATGGCTACCTAGATAAAACATCAGTATTGCTTATATTACTTATTTCCATGTAAGTGTATATTGAAAATAGAGTACCCATATATAGATTTTTAATGAACAAAATCAGTTAGGTGAAAATTTATTTTCAGTGAACGTTTCTTAATCCACTACAATACAGTTGTTGCAAAAGAATCTTCTCAAAACTGCTACCTGATCCACCTTGAGTAAAAGAACCTACGAGTCCAAAATTTGTATTATTGCTACAAAACACTTCTTTTCCATAGTGGTTATTCTTAATCTTATAGAAAAAATATTAACAAATGATATGTCAATCAGAACATATTTTTGTTTCTTTGGATCTATATTACCCGTTTTACTGGAAAGTGGCTAAAGTTACTAATAATGCTGATTAAATTCAGCAATATTCAATGATTTCATCTCGTAATTTGAATCTGTTCCTAACTGTGCTGTCTGGGCATGATACAAATTCATCTTGCAGCAGAGACAAGTAGCCTCTTTCTTCGTCCTGCCTCAGCAGTGGTGCACATTACGTCAAGGAACGTTGTATTGACATTGTTCTGCTGCTGTGTGTTGCATACAACTCAGCTGTAACACAGCAATGCTATTAGTAGCTTTTTGTTTGACATGAATGAAGTTAACGTTAAAATGATACTTATTCTAATGATCCTTTCTGCACACCCAGGAGAGCTGAAGTGAATACAGCACCATGGCTTATAATCACATACTTATTTCTACAGATCGGTTCCTCATTCATAGCACGTAACCCAAGTTTAACCAGTTATAAACCAGCCACTCAAACAGGTTCTCAATCCCAAAGAAACGCTTAAATTATATTCACAGGCTTAACTTTTAAACAGTTTGGAAAAGTCCCAAATAAGTAAAATTTTATCCAACACCTGAAAACCCGATTCATTTTTGGCAACCCCAGAAAGACTATTGGGCACAATCGTGCCCTGAAAAAGGCTGATCCCTGTCTG